CATCGAAAAACCCAACAAGTCTGTCATGACAGCTGACTGGTTCTGCTTTTTGTGAGCATTCACATCACTCTTTGCTGACCACCTTTCCACCGGGCCAGGGCTTTCCATTCATCTTTACTAGTCCTTTTCAGTGTTCTTCATTAGCTCTACCCTTCCCCGCAAGCTTTGAACCTCAGATGATCCCTCCCGCTCACTCCCTGGCCCCAGTCTCCTCCAGCCACACTACTTCTCATGGTGAGACCACATGTGGGCGGCCCACGCAGAATGTCTTGAACTCACATCTCTTTTTTTAAGTGTCACACTTGTATTTCATTGCTTTAAAAAACACATGGAGGGCATTCTTCTTTTGAAATGCCCACCACTCTTGGGAATTCTCACTTTTCCATAACAAATCTGCATTTTGTCAGCTTATGACAAAACAAAGCAAACAAAACATTGATATAATCCTTATCTTACTATCTGCTTTTATAAAAATCAGACAAAGGCATTGGGTACCAGAAGGATCCTAGGATGCTGATTCCAAGGATGGGACTATTCACTAGACAAACGGCACTAAGATCTCTGGTCTTGATAGTAGGTGAATACCAAACGCTGCTGTGTTGTAGAACTGAACGGCCATGATATTCCTTTCTGGTAAAATTGAAAAGGATACCAAAAAAAGAGAAAGTGCTTTGGCTTTGGCATGGGACAACTAGCAGTTAGGAGGGCTGTGGAACTGCGTGGTAATGAGGGGAAATGACAGACTCAAGACAATCCATCCATCCATCCATCCATCCATCCATCCATCCATCCATCCATCCACCACTGAAAGTGAAGCATGTGAGTCAGAGGATCTCTTGGTAAGAATTTAGAAAATCTCATTTTCTGTAGCTGAAGGGCACGCATGCCAGAAGGCAAGACAATATACTTCACTGTGAGAGTGACAGAGTTCGGAACAGGCTGATTTCCCAAACACAGTTGGAGCCCAAATGAAGATGGAGGGATGGAAAAGGAACTACTGATTATTTCAGGTGAATATTTTGAGGCTCCAGATTCTCCTAAACTTGCAGACGCATCCCCTCACTTTGTGGAAGATTAAGTCCACACATACCCCTTCGTAGGCAACACATTTGTCTGATGAGACTGAGGTCATCTTACTCAAGGCATTTCTGGACTCCCTTCTTTCTGCAGCCAGACCAATAACTGGGGCTAGACTAACAGTGAACACCTGTTACAATTTTAAATGGAAGTGCTGGGTTGTTCTCCTAAGAGATGGCTTACAGGCACCCACTAGAGACCAGAAGAGCACATCTAGGAATGCATCCGAAGTGACGTATATAAGGAGTGACAGATATATGGGGAAATTTGGAAACAGTGTTCTGTGTACTTTAGTTAAGGTCTTGGAGGATGGTTTCAATATGCTATTATTATAGCACTTAGAGCAGTGCTTCTCAACCTTCCGAATGCTGTGACCCTTTAATCCAGTTCTCCATGTTGTGGTGACCCCCCCCCAACCATAAAATTATTTTGTTGCTACTTCATAACTGTAATTTTGCTACTGTTATGAGTTGTAATGTAAATACGCCATATGCAGGATATCTGATATGTGACCTCCTAAAGGGTTGCAACCCATAGGTTGAGAACCACTGACTTAGAAGCTTGGAAAAGTGATGGGTGGGAAGTGCTCCCTGGTATACCAGAAGTACCCTGGCAAAGCACAAAGGAAGGGACTGAAAGGTTCAGGTAGCTGAACTTGCTGAAAAAGATTTTGCTATGACATTGGAAAGCCTCTTTTTCTTGGGAGTGCCCAGGGGACATGCTGTGGATGATTGATAAATAAAACACTGATTAGCCAGTAGCCAGGCAAGAAGTATAGGAAGGACTAGTAGAGAGGAGAATTGAGAGAACAGGAAGGCTGGGAGGAGGAGACGCCAGCCTGCCGTCCAGGGAGCATCGTGTAAAGGCAGCAGGTAAAGCCACGGAACATGTGGCGACATACAGATTAACAGAAATGGGCTGAGTATAAGAGTAAGAGCTAGACAATGGTAGGCCTGAGCTAATGGCCGAGCAGTTTAAATAATATAAGCGTCTGTATGTTTATTTTATAAGTGGGCTACAGGACTGCTAGGGTTTGGTGGGACCCGGAGAGAAAAACTCTAGCTATAGGGACACTTTATTTTCCCAGCTGATAAAGAATGTGTGAGGGAGGGAAGAGCAGTGGCAGGAAGGGACAAAGAGGTGTCTATCTCTGTAGCTCAGGGATGATTGGGCTCCTTGGAATGGTGAAGATGGAGGCATCTCTTTGGGTTGTTAGCAAACACTGAGTGAGTATCTAACTTTCTGAAGCAAGGTGGGCATAACTCTCATAAAGGACATCAGTGCTCAAATATACCAGGAGAGACAAACCTGGAGAGTCATTTGAGGTGGCTGATGATGATCAAGGCATTCACATGGGCAGTATAAGTAGGCAGGCCAGTCTGAAGAGGTTAAAACTCAATAACGATAAATAGAAAGCTGACATCACAGTCTCTTCCCAGGTTTTACCCATGATCCTGTATCAGGCCTAGAACTCCTCCACAGAAAGAGAGGCTGCGTGGTCTCCACAAGACTCACAAAGTTTATACAGCAGTGACCTCACTCCCCCGAGTCCTTTCCCAAAGAATCATGTAGCCATTTATTCTGGAAATCATACAATAGGAAAAGGCAGTTTTCTGCATTTTTCAGGGCCTTTAGAGACATGATCTGAGCTGACACTTACGTCCCAACACCTGTCCGGGAAGAACAAATCGGGTTCTGATGTGGACCCGACTCACAGTGTGGCAGTTGGTTTTACAAGTCTTCTCCCTCCAGTTCTCAAACTTATTGTTGGAATGGATGTACTTAGCAGTTGGCAGCACCAGCACATTTGTCCTTAGCCTGGAGAAGAAGAGGTAATGCACTTGGGGGGAAAAAAAAGACCTAGTAAGCATTCCAGAAATCTCCTGTTCTCAGCAAGAAGATCCAATCTGCTACACAAGGGAGATACAGGACTCTGGTAGATCATAGCAGAGTCAGCAAATAACACTGCTATAAGCTGATCCCAGAAGCCCCAGTGGTAAATGCTGTGCTGGTGTGATGGCTTAAAACAATCTCAGGTATGTACATAATGAAACTCTAACCCAGTTACAAACATCCTTCTTCACTGTAATGATAATGCCATTATTATAGGACAAATAGAATTTTGAAGAGGATCAGGATTCTGGAAGTCCCATGAGTCCTTAGTAAGAATTGCTGCTTTTACCTCCCCACCAACAAGTAAATGAGCTTTAAGGGTCCTCTGCAGAAGGGTTCCTAAAAGCAGGTGATCCAGAAACGTGTCAACTTGCAGACCGACTTTTAATAACTGGTAAGTGTGTGTGCAAGCTCACGCTTCGTGCCTTAGTGCTACAGTCCCTTGTCCAACAGTGAGGACAGAATGTCCCAGTCAAGGCCCATGTGTGCCTTGGCTCAGGGGACATTTTTTGGAACCAGGTTTCTTGACCCCTAGTTGACCTCATGTTGACAGCACTCTACGTCATCACTGTATAACATTTTTAAAACACAGATTGCATACCTCAGGTATGTTGTATAACTCCGTGTCTTCAGAAAACCTTTTGGGACAGTCCTTGTCCCTCTCTGGGAAACCTCACTATGGTTCACAAAGGCACCATTGGAGTCCGTCAATCAGAGTGACTTTCTAGGGAAGGTCACATTGGTCTATTAACTGGATGTTGTGTTAAGTGGACACGATGAGCCAGCGTGCTCTGAGTTCCTGGATGAGATGCATGAACTCCAGGGGAGGGGTAAGAGTAACCACTGTAAACATCTGCCATGTCAATCACGTCATTAGGCATCTAGCTGTTTGTGGAATACTGGGATATTCCCTCAGAAGAAAGTAAGTTAGTATCCCTGGATCCTCCTGTCAGTAATGAGGAAATATGAAGCCCGATGAGCCAAGGAATGTAGGAAGCTTTTTAGGATCTATAAAGGAAATATATTTAGTTCCAGAAGCTTTGGGCCTGCGGATCCCTTGACTTAAGAACATTGAAATGGATTTGTGACCTCTAGAACAGTTAATATCATGATTTGTTTTAAGCCACTAAGTATGTGGCATTTTGTCACCAGGCTGAAGAATGTCTACGCTGTTGTCACACAGACATCAACTGCTGTGCCTTTGACACAAAGAAACAACTTGGGAATGAGGACACCCACCCTGACTGGAATTAACCCGTGTTATGAAGAGCTCTGCCTCTACTGTCTGTAGGACGTCGGCCAACTCCACTCTCTATGGACTCACAGGGTCTCATCTCCTGACATGGGATCTACACAGGACTATGGAGACCTTCCCCTCCCTCCGCATAGGCTGTGCACCAGTGAATAGGGCTGTAGCTCCTGTTTCCTGCCACGGGTCGCATCTGCAGAGGCTCCATCTAGTGGAGAAATTTAGATCACAAGCCCTCTGTTCACTGGGAACAGACAGATACTCGGACCTGGAGACTGCACCCTGAGGGCTTTCTGATTTTACTGTTCTCACTCCCTTCAGGAGACGGGGCATTTCCAAATAACCACCCCCACATGGAGAAGGGCTGCATAGTGGCCAGGTCCATCATTCTTTTAGTTCTTTACAGAAATGTAAAGAAAAAAAAAAAGAAACAAACCCCAAAACAAACACCCCGCTCCCCCAAACATAATGTCCCTAAGTCTAATTGGGTGAGGTCAGCCTTCCTCCTTCCTACTTTTTCTCAAGGGACCTTAAAAAGGAGTAACTCTGCTTTCTCTGAGTGGGTTGAAGCCTTTTTTTTTTTTTTCACTCTGCTGATCTCTAACAACCCCTCAGTTTGAATGTCAATCTTAATCCATGAACCTTGCTCCCTTTCCCCTAACAATAATGGCATGCTTTTTAAAGGAGACCCTTGCACCATTAGTGACCTTCGTGAGGCTTTGCATTCCTTGTGTCAAAGCCGACTCTATGGTCTGTGGCTATAATAGGGACTAGATGGACCTAAATGACAAGGGCTGGAAGTAGAAGAGGCCTTTGACTCACTGAGGAATCCATGCTTCTTCCTAGTCTTTCAAGTTTGTTGGTCTGATGTCCTGGACCTTGGAGGGGAGAAAATGAGAATTTTAGTGTACTTAAAGCCACAGATAGTCACTTTAAATTCCTCCTGCCAATAAATTGGTAAGTGACCCCAGTCTTCATGATGGGAGTAGGGGTGCCTGCTACTGAACCATAATGAGAATGTAGAGTAGTATGTTTGCTACACCCATGGATTCCTTTGTTGGTGTGTCCAGGCATAGATTTAATGGTAAGTAGAAAAGTACAGCAAATACAGTTCAATAATGGTATGGTGACGAGGGTCCCAGAACCCAGATGTGATGGGATGAAGAGACTCTAGACTGGATGACAGAAAAGGTAGGCAACAAGTATCAAGTATATAATCTTGGGACTAACTATATGTATTGGGGCTAAGGATTGTGCTTTTTTTTTATATATTTCTCCAAGAACTATGACAACAGACTCTAGAAGCAGCTATACCAAGTTGGGATAAATACATCTTGAAGAGTGAGTGTATCTCATCAGTGCAAGGATGAACTGCAGAGATACCGTGGAGCCCATCAATCTTTCCTGAGACCTTAGCATCCATCTCTCAGCTGCTGTGCATGGTGGATGCTGATAGCACTAAGCATTCCTTATCATTTAGTCTTTGTCAGACTAGCATTAAAGTGGCTATATTATTTTTAAGATTTTAAAACATTTTATATATAGGAGTGTTTTGTTTTCATATATAAATATATGTACCATGTGCCTACAGCATCCACAGAAGCCAGAAGCAGGCATTGGAACTGCTGACACTGGAGTTTCAGACAACTATGAGCTGTCATGTGGCACTGGGAATCGAACCTGGGTCCTCTGAAAGAACTGTGAGTGCTTTTAACTGCAGAGCCATCTCTGGAGTCCTGGGGTTTATGTTCTTTTATATGTTTGTATGCAACCGTAGTGAGTTCAACTTCTTTTACTGTCCTGTAGCATCCAGTTGTATGAGTACATCACAGTTTACTTTATGTGGTCTGTTGGTGGGTCTTGGAATTATTTTCAGGTGTTGGCTATTAGAAATAATGGCAATATTGCATCCCTCTACCTGTTGCTGTGCTGTGGACTAATCTTTCTGTACACTGTGAACATGTGTGGTTAATAAAAAGCTGGCTGATAGCTAGGTAGGATTTCTGGGGCAGAGGGAATGCTGGGAAGAAGGGCAGAGTCTGAGGTGTCATGAGCCAGATTCAGAAGAAATGACATAGGAAGTTCATGGATAAGGTAAATGAGCCTCAGGGCAGCACATAGATTAATAGAAATGGTTTAATTTAAGTTGTAAGACTGGCTGGAGACAAGCCTAAGCTATTGATCAAGCATTTGTAATTAATAGTAAGTCTCAGTGTGGTTATTTGGGAGCAGCTGCTGTGATACAGAAAAACTTCCTCCACCTACATCTTTGCCAACACTAATAAATTTACTTTTGATGGACTTAGACACAGGCATGAAATTATTGTGTCATATTATGCATGAATGAATGTTGTAGGACAGTAGATGCTAACAGTTTTCTAAAGTGTTTCCTATGTGCCAAAATACTCCCTTATGTTCTTTCTCATTATGGTTCAGCAACCACCCCTACCCCTATCATGAGGTCTGGAGGTCAGTCACCCCCATAAGTAAGGAAACTCTTGTAGTTGCTTTCCATTTTATTGACATGAGGAATCTAAAGTGACCAGCTGTGGTAAAGTACACTGGTACTCTCATCCTCTCTTCTTGAAGATCTGGGATATTGGAGCTGCTGCTCTGTGAATGTGAAGATGATCTTGTGTTATCTGCTGGGAGCATCACTGATTTCTCTTTAACTTTCTGTGAGGAACTAACTTGGGGTTGATTTTCGAATATGGTAAGAGGGAGGGGTCATGTTTAGCTTCTTTCATTGGAAACTAATAGACATGTTGATTTGCTCTCTCACATTCTCTTATGTTTTTGGTTGTGAGCCTAGCCTTTAAGGGCGGAGCCATCTCTCCAGCCCATCTCTCACATTCTCACATGCCCTGCTCTCTCTTTCCTAGGCTCAAGTCCAGGGCCTCATGTATACTAAATATTCTTCTTGTCTTTGTGTTGATGTGATAAAACACTGACCAAAACCATGCTGGCGGTGCATGGGAGAGAGAGAGAGAGAGAGAGAGAGAGAGAGAGAGAGAGAGAGAGAGAGAGGAGATTTTAGCTTACAGGTTAGAGTCCATCTCTCGGGATGCCACCCAGGAAAGCAAGGCAGAAGCTTGATGCAGAAATCAGAGAGGAATGCTATCTATTGGCTTTTTTCCTTCAGCTTTCTTAGCTACCTTTCATATACAACTCAGGCCTACCTGCCACAGCAGGATGGGCCCTCCAGCGTCAATCAGCAATTAATAAATCGCCTCCCAGACATGCTCACAGGCCAATCTGGTGGAGATTGGCCTAGATGAGGTTCTTTCTTCCCTGGTGACTCTGAGTTGCTCCAAGTTTGTAGCTGAGGCTGACTATGACAGGAAGCAAGGTTTCTACTCTCCTAAGCCTTTGTTTTAAAAACAGTAGGTAAAAGTTCCCTCCTGCTCCCTCTGGCCTCCAACAACATCATTCAAATTTTTATTTATTTATTTTTTAAATAATAGAACTTTGGTCCTAAGCAGATAATTAGATTGTCATGTGGCTGAAAATCATATGATATTGGTATTGTCCATTCCTTATTCTGAGGAAACCAAATGTTTAACAAACAGGTTGTTCTTTTATTTATTTATTCATTATTTATTATTTTACTTTTATTTATTTAATATTCATTTATTTATGTATTTATTTTGGTTTTTTGAGACAGGATTTCTCTATATAACAGCTCTGGTTGTCCTGGAACTTGCTATGTAGACCAGGCTGGCCTCAAACTCACAGAGATCTGCCCACCTCTACCTCTCGAGTGCTGGGATTAAAAGTGTGTGCCACCACCGCCCAGCTAACAGGTTCTTCTATATGCAGGTTCACTTTATTAATGTCTAAAGACAGATATGGCTTGATTGATTTTTCACAGGTGACAGTATGGAGGTAAGTGGTCTAAGCCTGTGAAGAAACTTCTGAGGCTGGGCATGGAGACCCAGACTTCTAATCTTACTTACTTCTAATCTAATCTTACTTACAGGAAGTCTGCCATTTCAAGGGCAGCCTGGGCAAGCCAGTGAAGACTCTTACTCACAAAGAAAACAAGTGCTGGAGATGGAGCTCAGTGGTAGAGCACTCACTCACCCAGCAAAGCCTAGTACTGCAGGAAAAAAAAGAAAAGAAAAGAAAAGAAAAGAAGAGAAGAGAAAAGAAAAGAAAAGAAAAGAAAAGAAAAGAAAAGAAAAGAAGAGAAGAGAAGAGAAAAGAAAAGCAACAATAAACAAACGAACTTCAGTGATGCGGGTGTGGTTGCATTTCTGGATCTAGGTGATTACTTAACCCCCACACTCTTTCCAGAAGGAATGAAAGATGAGAACCATGTCAACAGTGTGAAGGGCATCCCTTCTGTGGAAGGTGACATGCTTTTGTTGCATCCTACCACTCGGCGTTCAGTTTTCGGGCCATGCTCACACCCATGAACATCTGGGAAAGCCTCTCAGAAATGTAGAATTCTGTTATCAAGGGAGAGGGGGGATGGATATTGGAATAGTGGCAACAGGACCGTTCTTGGTGGCAACATCCTGAGACGTAGGCAGGGTTGCATAGCCCACCAGCGAGCCCAGCACTTTGCCCTTTGGAAAGCTTCTTGGGGTCCATTCCCATTGGAATTTGTAGATCTTTCTTTGGATGTGCGGACACTTGCAGGAGTATATGTGTGTGTCCAAGCGCAGACTTGTATCCTTTTATTAGAAAAGAAAACGATCGAAAGCTGTTTCCTTTGGTCTTCCTGTGGCGGTCAGATGAGCCGGGTTTAGAGACTGTTGCTAGTGAAACAGTTCCCGACGCCCTTTCATTTCTCCTCTGTTGGTTCCACGGGTTTCCTTTCCCTCCCTTGCCCCCTCCCTCTCTCCCTCTTCCCTTTCATTCCCGAACCCCTCCCCCTCTATCTTCTTATGTTGCCTGGGCACCCTGTCTCCACATCCCACTGCTCGCTTGTGCCAAGGAGTAAGTCAAACAAGGTTGGAAAGACAGGCGGGGGCGGGGGGGGGCGAGTGAGGACAAGTGACGACTCAAATATGGTATCAAAATATGATGTCTGCTTTACATATTTTTTGAACTTTTATTATTAGTTTTTATTACACAAGTAATACATGTTCATTGTAGAAAAATTAGAAAACACAGAAAAGCAAAAAGAAAAATAATCACCCATAATCCCACTACCCATGGATAACTGCTATTAACATTGTAGTGTATGGCCTTCTAGCTTTCTTATGCATATGTATATATATACATACATAGATATATTTATATGTGATTTTCTTTTTTTACAAATATTGTATCATACTATACATACTGTTTTATAACATGTTTTTCATTTAATATATATTGTCAACGTCAGTGTTTATTCCCTGAAAAAATTATACAGATACTACATGCTCATTGTGAAAAAGTCAGAAATCACAGATATGCAGAAAGAAAATACAACTGCTCCTAATCTCACCTCCCAGAAAGAAATCCTGTAGGCGAACATCCTTTCAGCCTCTATAATGTAGGCATGTTTGTAAGAGGGTACTTCTCCAGAAATTCTCCTACTGCCTCCTTTTCTCCCTTTAATACCATAGACTGTACATTTCAATAAATACACACGGTGAACATTCTGAATTGGTGCACAGTATCCATTGAAATGATATACCGTATTTAACCATATAAATGTAGGAATATTTACAAAACATCCTTTCTTGTATGACTTTTAAAATAATGAATAAATGTATCTCAGCTCACTTGTTTTTTTTTTTTTTTTTTTTTTTTTTTGCTGAACGTTAAATAACATAATTGCATTTATTTAGTGTGTGTGCAGATTAGAGGCTAACCTGCCGGGGAGTCAGTTACCTCCTTCCACCTTGTGAGTCCAGGGGGTGGGGTCTAGCTTGCTTGGTGGCAAGAGCCTTTCCTTGTTGAGTCTTCTTGCTGGCCCATTGCTGAACATTTAAAAGGAGAATTTTCCTTATTGTGAAATTACTGAGAGTGCTTGAAAAATATATAGTACCAAAACATTTTCTGAAAAGGTTGGATCAGTTTATGCTCTTGTTGACTACAAGAGAATGTTTATGTTCTCTTACTATGCGTATAAAGGAACTTGAATGATTTATACACATGCCTTTCTGAGTTGTTCATATGTGCAGTTTTTGTCCCTAGTAAATCCAAATATGTTCAGTGTTATCAGTGGATTATTTTAGCTTGTGGTATGTTACTTACTCCCTTGATTCCCTCTCTAGATTGGAATGTACTGGAAAGTTTGATTCTTTTTCTGAATCACGCAATACTTTTTATGCCATTCATTCACTATCCACTCATTCAATGACTATGTTTTCGTTATTTGGTTTGTGCACAGCACTATGTTAGGAGATGAGAGAACAATGTTAAACAAAATGTATGTGATGGTTGCCATTCATACTTTCAGTTTAGTGGGATGAACCAACAATCATACAAGCAGTACTGGAAAAAGTGCAAGTCTTGTAGACCATGAAGACCTCCCCAAAGTGCTGTGGTTATTCATATAGTAGAGCCCTAATATCTTTCTTGCATGGATTGCAAATATTACTTTCTCTTAATTTGGCTTAATATTTACTGTATAGGACTTTTACATTCTTTTAAAAAATAGTACCAGTCCAACCCATCCATCTTTTCTTTATCACTTCTTCCTTTGGTATTATGCTTAGAAAGGCTTTTATCTCCCACATTAAAATGATATCTTCATGGATATGATAAGTCTTTTTCATGTTTATTATTTATTCATACATTTTAAAATGTGAATATTTACTTCATCTAGAATTCATATTGATTAAGTTATGGACCAAATTTTGCTCCCAGGAGAGGTTAACTAATTATTCCAAATAACTTAATTAATCCAAACTTTTCTCATATTTGAAGTGTAGTGTACTCAGTTATTTTCTGTTATTTAGTGTACAGTGGGTGCTGTAGTTAGTTATAGCCATTTATTGTGAGACTGATAAAATAGCACTGTTCTTCCTCATTCTTCCTATAGTTACAGCAAAGGTAAGTGTTTTCTGTCGTGATATTCTAGAACAAAAGGAAAACGCAGATATTGTTTAGGCACAGATATGTGGGGAAGAGTCTTAGGCTGCATGATAATTCTTAATTATTTCAATCATGAGACTTTCACAGTCTGGAAGCCTTAATGGACTCATTGTTAATCTGGTCCATTCACAGGTTTTCTAAAATAAATGAGGTGCTTTGAGTCTTTGCTTTGTGTCAGCTTGAACCTTAGCTTCCACTAGGTGGCAGTATTGCCTAAATCTGAGCATCCTAACTTTTCACTGGAGTAAAGGAGGGACTCAAATGGTCGGGTGGGGCTTGAGAATTTTGCCTGGCATTAGCGCCCTGCTGCTTCTACAGCTTTCTTTGTACCCGAATAGTGAATGGCACAACAGGGCAGTTTGCAGTGAGTCTACATCTAGACGCTAAACATCGGGGGTCAGACATTAAAGTGATACTGTGGCTTTAAGGCTACTTCATATGTCTTTGGGCCCAACCCCTACTGACTGAGAGCCCAGGAACTTGGTTTTAAACAATACGTTTGTGGTGGAGTCCAGATGATGTTTACTTTGACACATGGTGATGTTTTACAGGTTCCCCCCTCCCCCCCAAAAAACCCCCATGTATTCTTTATAATTTGCAGGGAAAACTGAAAGAGGATATAAAAAGTACGGTGCTAAAATGAGTGTGTGCCACACAAAAAAGAAGTGTCATCCTTTTCTGTTTGATGCATGTGTGTTTGTTTGTGAGACAATAGTCAGTGTTTTCTCCTACCCCAGATCGGCTGGTTGCTTCTGGAAGTGCAAAGACAATTTCCTGCAGGGAGCAGAGGCAGCAGAACTTATTTATCTCATGGAACCACGCCTGAGAAAGCCCACTGGTGACAGGAGAGAGGAGCAGCTCCTACTGGATGCACTTGGCACATCTAAGGGGAGGTGGTGAATCACCGTGGCAACCGCGAACCAACATAGTTATCAGAACTTTGATTACTAAATGTTGCTTTAGGACCTGCTACTGAATGGTCGTCTGTAAATCTTGGAGTGTGTCTATGGGAACTATAAAACCGAGCAAAGGCTGGAAAACAGGCACTGAATAAAAGATAAGGTGCTTGGACTAGATTACCTTAGATACGGAAGTCTGGCTAGGTAATTAGACAATTCCCATCTCCATGAATAGCTACCATGACCTTCTCAGACATGGAGGTGAGACCTGAATTTTTTTTTTTTTAACAGTCTTTAGTTGTACAAAGGACAATTGCACAGAAGGTGTTATTATCACGCTGAGACTAAGGAGAGAGCGAGCACAAATGAACAAAGCAGGAGCGATTTAGGTCAGGCCTCAGCAAGGGTGTGCTGCACACAAGGGGTTTTAACTCAGTGAGTTTGCATGGATCACTAGGAATGAGGCTGAAGTGTAGGGATCAGTCCTTTCAGAGCGTTTGACAGAACAGAGACGGGAGCTGAGAACATGCCATTTAGAAATGATAGCTCATAAATGAGATAACCTCAGGGGTTGTCTCATTTGAGATGAGCTGTATTCGGGGGCAAATACTCAGCTTTATTCAAGATGGCGGACCAGGTGAGTGGGGAAGAGTTCCTTGCTTTGTAAAGAGTCTTTAAGCAACACATTCCTTCCATTGCTTCATGAACATTTTGATTCAGAAAAACTATAATTTTCTCACACAATTTGTCAAAAGTACTTCTTTTACTGAATCAATTCGTACCCGTAACAATGCATTAGTTACCAGCTCAGTGGAACATAGTGCGAGGTTCCAAGAATATGGTCAACAGTAACTGGTGGGATTGAAATACAGACCAATGATAGACTTTGGAGGCCTTTTCCATCCCTGAATTCTTGGATAGGAGAAAATCAAGTGCTGTACGATTTCCTTTCTAGATATTAGGTTGAACTACTTGAAATTGCCATTTTTTTTTATATAGGTCAAAACAGTCAAATATCAGCCATTTCATAGAATTCAACCCAATACAAGAATTATCCATGCTTTCCATCTTCTGTAAGGTAAAAGGCTTTAAAATATTTTATTCTTAGACCAGGATATTAGTGTACGCATAAGTGCCTGCCTCCTCAGGGTGGGATTAGAGCCATTTGAAGCTAGTTTGATCCTCTCAAGATTGGGCACTGGTACGTCCTGTCTGACATGAAGATTGTCCAGAGAATGGAAAATAAAGCAAGAAGAGTGAAGATTCATCTTCCAGCTCTTGGGAAATTCTGCCTGGGAAAAGGGCCAAAGGGAGGATAGAAGGAAAAACAGGATTGTACCGTTATAACAGGTTCAGTGGAAAAAGCGCATAACAGAGCCGTGAGCAGAGAAACATAGCGCGTGGCTCCCTCTTTCCTAAAGTACAGTATTGCTTAATGTGTCCTGCTCTCAAGATGCTAGACATGAAGACAAGACACAGAGTAACATTGGAAAAGCCATATCTGCATAGTCATCTAAAATGAGACAAGCTAAGCTTAACTAAAACATTTTTTTCATTAATAATGTAAAATATTAAAGAGTTTTATGATCTGAGCTAATTCCAGCATGCCCTAAAAGATTTAACATTATGCTGATGTGCGGACTCCATGCTTCAGATTTCAATTCAAACAAAATGTGATAATATTCAATTTTACATCTGAGGGTAATTGTATATGTTACTACACCATTTCCTAACTGGATAACTTCATTTTCCAAGAAGCTTAAAAAGACACCATTGGATTAAAAGAAAATTAGTTGCCCATATGCATTGTACGAAGATACTAGGATTCCTGTGTATTTACAAAATGTATTTTTCACATGTGGTTTTGTTGCATTATAACTTAAGTTTTTTTTATGTTGACACTTAGATTCTGACAGAATGGAAGACTATATGTAAATGAGTGCAGAGAAAGCAACACGTGAGGTGGTGTGTGTTTGGTTATAGTAGTATTTCTAATGATACTCAGAGATCACATTTTTAAACAGTTTTGCTGTTTTAAATAGATTTCTATGTTTAGAGACATCTTTCATATCTGATAAATTGTTAACATGAAATCAGCAAGAGCTACAGATATACTATTATATGTGAAATAATTTTTCTCTGTATAATACATTTAAAAAAACCTTTAAATAATTTAAAAATCATAATTCTTGCATCTGTCATGGCATGGTTCAGAGCAGACATGCACAATGTCAACTTTTTAAAAATCCCTTTAAAAACAGGCTGCGCCTTTTTGAATCTGTTCTTTTTTTTTTCCTTGATGGCAGCTGCTTTCAAGTGTAAAATCATTTAAAAGGGCGGAGAGAGGCGGATAAAAGTAATAAGGAAGCATAGAAAAGGTGGCCAAAACCATTCTCGGTGTTCCGCTGTGTGGAGGCTTCCGGCTCTGGGGTGTTTTTCAGGTGATCTTGGCTGTGAGTTTCCAGGGGGAACCACCTAGCTTGAGACAAGACAACACAACCCGAAGAACCTTCTCTTCCGTCTTCTCACCATGGGGTAGGGAGTTAGATTCAGAAGGCTGCTGTCATCTGTGATGGACAGAACGTAAATAGGAGTAAGGAACAGACAAAATAAGCCGATACTTATCAATTGGCTTTAAAAATCCATCACCCTGCCTACCACACTCCAAACCTCAGTGATATGGCGATGTTTTATTTGTATTAAAATGTTATTTGTATGTTAATAAATAAAGTTGGCCGGGGATCAGAGCTATTAGCAAGCTACAGGAAAGCAGGGCAGTGGTGGCGTAAGCTTGTAATCCCAGCACTTGGTAGGCAGAGCTAGGTAAGTCTCTGTGTGTTCAGGGATACAGCCAGCATTGGATACACACGCCTTTAATCTCAATACCAACCATAGAAGACCTGGAGGTCTATACAGACAGGCCGTGACGAGGCGGTCATGTGGTTGGGTTTACAACCAATGAGAAGGCAGAACAGAAATTCTATATAAAGACTTTAACACAGGAAGTAGCTCTGGTTCGGAGAGGTAGGACCACCGCAGGAGGAAGGGTAAGGTTTTAGCTCTTAGCTCTGACCTCTTGGCTTTCTTCTTTACATTGGTTCTGTGTTTCTTATTTAATAAGACGGTTGGTTACATCTACACAGTGATGTTAATATTTTGGACCAGTTAGAGGCTATCTCAAGCACTGAAGGACTTTATCAATGCTTTGTTGTTAGAGGCTATCCCCAGTAGTGCTGTTAGAGGCTATGCCCAGAAGGACTGAAATAGTGTCCTTGGTCTTCTCTCACTTCGGATGGCTCCATCAGTTGGGGCAACCAAATACATTCCTAGATCTGGCCAACTGTCCCCTGGGACAAATATTCTAAGACTGAGAATCCCTGTTCACAGTTCAGTTGAAACTGCTCAGAGACAACCTTTCAGTTGGGAGAAGTTGCACATACCTTAATAGAAACAATCCAACATCTGAGTACGCTTGGCTGGTTTTGTAAGCTTGCCTTCTGTGACCCTCATCCATCATTCAACCTCACTAAACTTTGATGTCCAGTGTGTGAATTTGGGTTTAATAGTGAACAATACTTAAGTGAAGATTATAATGAACTAACTCAGTTAAATAGATAATTTAACTATTTTCCTTTTGCATAGGACCATTTTCTTGATTCCATTCTACTTCCTTCGTGTCTTGGGAAGAAACTTCAGCTATTTTCTGTTATGTCTTTCCACATCTATATGTGGATATGTATGGAAAGGCATATATGTATATAGATACATACATATACATAAGACATATGTATATACACATAACACACACACATATATGCATTAGGTTAGATTGATAACTATTGAGTCAACACTTTTGGGGTCAAAATTTTAGCATAATAACAAGCAGAGGAAGAAGTGAACCAGAAGGCTAACTGGCTTTCCTGAGCTGGGTTCTTAAAACCTACTGCAGTCTAAAAGGAAAGGAGTTAGGGAGGTTCTGGGAGAGCAGAATTGGCAAGCAAGGGTCTCAGAAACCAGAGGACTGCAAAGTATTAGCTGGAAACCACCAGCAGGGGCAGAGTTAGCACGTGGTCTTGATGTGACAAATGGATGGGTGACACTGATGGCCTTCAGGTGGCTTTTCAGAGTGGGGTGGAGGGGGTCCCCTTTCCCACTGCCAACCTTAAAGGAGATGGAACCTTGGCCAGGGGCACTGTCCAGTGTTAGATGGTATCATGGATACGGGGAGGGGGCACCACAGACTGACTGGTTGGGGCTGGTTTGGGGTCGAGGTTTGCTTTTCTTCATTACAGAGCCGGGATGCTTAGGAAACGGTTGAGGACAAAAATAAACCCTGGCTTCCTGATCCTCTCCTGAAACTATTTTCATCCAGGTACCTGAGTGCCCTCATCTTTCCTGAAGTCTCTTAAGTGTCAGTGTGTTATGCTTATTAGCAAACGAATACTGTTCACCCAAACTGACAGGGATCTTGGCACTGGTTCAATTTGTGCTAAATTTAGCTGTACCCTGAAATGCATGTTTAAAGCAAAGGAGAAAATGGACGTCCAGCTGGGCACAGCAAACGACTCTAACATGGTCCCCATTTTGTCTCCAGTGATTAAGACTCCAGTAAAAGTTGGGTTCTTTAAATGTGGAGAAAAATGCATTCATTTTTATCCTTTTAATTGTGAAAAAATAATTTGCAATAATCTGGGCATCAATATTTTGAGAGCTAAGACTACAATCTCTCTTCTATATTTAACTTGTTTCAAAAGAGTTAGGACGCTGGAGAAAATGCCCGGCCCTATGCATGAGCATGGGCATCACCGTGCAGGGAGAGCTCTCAGAGGCCGATCATATTTTTAGAAAAGAAAGGAATCATACATAACCCAGTCTTTCATCATTTCTGGGACTCTTATTTTAACTACCAAATGGTCAATGAACTTAACCTAACTGGATGGGCTTTGAAGAGTAACTCAGGCTCTCTTTAGATAATGGCTACACTTCCTGAAATTCAAGTTCACTGGCAATTCAAGGCTTTCTGAGAGCAGAGTCATCAAAACTAGGAAGATATTTATAGCTAAGAATGATCTCTCTCTCTTACTGACTTGTAAGATCTATCATCTAAATTCCTACATCTCCCTTCATTTTTCATGTGTACTGTTCACATCACATAAAGAAATGTCTACTGTACATTTATAAAGGGAAGTATGCATGTATGTACTGTTGCCATAGGCCCTGTCTTGTTATCCTTTTTTAATGTTAAGAGCACAGAGGTGTCATGCACAAATATGAGATTTTCACCGACTGTCTTGTTTACAGTAAATAAAATCTTCTTTCTATAGACGAGCCTTTTATGCTATTGAAATTCTTCCTATTCAATCTTCCCTGTAGGGGTGTGTGTGTGTGTGTGTGTGTGTGTGTGTGTGTGTGTGTGTGTGTGTGTTGTGCACACTCGTATGTCTCAAACACACACACACACACACACACACACACACACACACACACACACACACGTATATACAGGGTATCTATGCTGCATAGATATGTGTGCCCATGCATATGTTTCACTCACAAGTGGACACAGTCTTAAGATGGATGGGAAAATGATGACATTAAGCAAAGGCCATGTTACCTACTAAGGATGACTACTGGCTTGGGGTGTCTTTGATGTGCATTTTTTTCACACCTTTGCCTAGCTTAGAGCTTGTCTGATCATCACCTAGGGCTGAGGAGAAACAAGAGCTTGAAAATCCTTGGCACAAATCCAGAACAGCTTTCTACAGCCTAGGAAGGCCATACGTGTAGTGAGCTCTACAATCTATCAAGCAGCAAAGGTTCCCCAAAACCTTTGGAGCTAACTGAACTCCAGGTAAGGATGTCTCACTACTTGGACTAATCCTGTCTCTGAGTTTTGAAAGACTGCTGAAAGAATGTGAGCAAAGTGGAATATTTCCTGACTCATTGTAAAAATCTCTGGGCAAATCCAGTTGAACTTGTTAGGAAATTGTTGATTTTTACTGTAATTGTGTGTTTAGATGTGATGTGTGAAGGCTCCTATTAGTTATTTTTTCCAAAAATACACAATGTCACAAAACTGTAACTAAAGACAGCTTGAAAATGAAAAGTGAGAAAGGAAATGGAGTAAAAAAGTCTAGGAGAAAGTGAATGGAACGATAGACCAGGAAATTTAATTGTCAGTAAGTCCAAAGACCCTGGAATCTCTTAAGAAACAGTGATGCTGTTTCTCCATTATTCGATTTCTTTTTGCTAATATTTGCTATGTACATGACATTTTGAGAAAAAAGGCAGACATGAAACTGAGAAATTTTCAAATTATAATCTGAGTTTAAAGCTGTGTTCTCAGATACAAATAAAAGAAATGATTAAACAGGAACTGTGGTTGTGGTTGTCATGGTCCAAATTCTTCTAGTCACACACATACACACACACACACACACACACACACACACACACACACACACACACATGAACATATATTTACATATATACAAATACGTATAGGGAACACATTTTGGAGGACTCAGCGGCCCTCAAACAACAACTGTATTAGCTTCATCTGAACCCTTTAAATGTACAGATTATTGACCTCACACCATATGTTTGTCAAACAGTGGGTATGGTGTGGAGCCAGAAAAGCAGATTTTTCTTACAAGTTCCTAAAGCTACTGATTGTAGTAGTACTTTCTTGTTGGGACCACCAGCCCCCAAATAATGATATGGAGATTTATTTTTGATTATGAAAGCTTGGCCTTAGCTTAGGCTTGCCACACTAGCTCTTATAACTTAAATTAACCAGTTTCTATTACTCTACATTCTGCCATGTGGCTTTCTACCTTTCTTTAATTCTGTTTGTCTGACCCCTCCATGTCTCACTGGCTTCTCTCACACACCTAGATTCTTCCCAAGTTCCTCTATTTCCCTGGAAGTCCCGCCTAACTTCTTCCTGCCTACCTGTCGACCGTTCAGCCCTTTATTCAACCAATCAGAAGGTGCCTTGGCAAAGACACATCTTCACAGTGTACAAAAAGATTAGCCTACAACAACCGATGTTGCAAGTCCTAAGAGCAGACATTGAGAGCTACTAACTTAACAGAAGACCTACTAAGTGCAAGGCTCTAGGATTTGCTTAATTTGATTGTCAACTTGATGCAGTGTACAATCATCAGTAAAACAAATCTCCAGATGAGTCAGTGAGGGTTTATGTGGATGTCATTAGTTTTGGTGGGAAGATCTACCCTATAGGTGGGCATTCATTAGTCCTCCATGAGGTCCCGAACTGAATAAAAGAGAGAGATGAGCATCATACTCATTGTTCTCTTTTCTATGGAATCAATTTGACCAGCAGCTGCTGATGCTTAAAAGTTACCTAAATATGCCCACTTTCTTTAACTTCCTGACTTTTACTTGTGCTTCTTGCCCCCTAAAGTCTTCTCTGCCCTTATGGACTGTATTCCCTGGAACTGTAAGCCAAAGTGAGTTGTTTTGTCAGGTGTTTTTTAGTACAGTGATGAGGTAAGTAACTGAAATACCCTGTGTAGAGTAGCGAAGATAATACCAGATGGGT